ATGAACACGCTTTTCAGCATCTCTTTATTGACCACTTTTCACACACGGTTGCTGTACGCATACAGCCGGCTGTAGCTTTTCAGCTCACAGCCCGACAACACAACAGCAGAGAGAGCACAGACTTTAAGGTGGCGAGGCGTGATTGCAGGTGCCGCTCAGGTGCGTCCGCGTCCCCTACAGCGGCGCTGCAGACCACACCCCGCCACACACATTAACCAGGTAAAATACATATTTAGGCAGAATTTTGCAAATATCTATTTTTCCTTTTTTTAGCAGCATAGTGCTTTTTTCCAATTACTTTTTAAAAGTCAGGTCAAGGCTCCAAAAGCCCAAAGGAGATATAAGGGTGGCGGCTCACAACAATTTTTGTTTGCTGGATCATTTTAGTTCAGCTGGGTGTCTTTCCTTTTGTTATATTTCTTTAAGAGTTCAAAATGTGTTAATTACATAAATAAAATGTAATTTTCTCTGTAGCACTTCATGGATTTCATAAGCAACACACCTTAGTTGCTCTGTGGATTCTTTTAAAAAGCAGTTAAAAACTTTTATGTTAAAACAAGCCTTTTGTTGATCTACGTATTTTATATTCTTTACATTATTTACATTTGATCTTTTACATTGTGTATAATGTCTATTGATTGTATTGTTTATTTTAATAGTTGTGTACAGCGCTTTGTGACTGCCTGTCTGTGAAAAGCGCTTAATAAATAAGCTTTACTTACTTACTTTAGTTGTTCACACAAAGCATAAAGGTAAAAAAACAATATATGCAGTGTTATCTTCATTTTAGATTTCAAAAAGTATTTGCGGCTCCCAGTGTTTTCTTTTGCGTGGAAACCGGGTCCAAGTGGCTCTTTGGGTGTTAAAGGTTGCAGACCCCTGAGCTAGGAGATAGAGGATGTTATGCCATAGAACCCTCAATAAAGCTATTAAACTACATTTTGACCTCCAGCTGTCTTCAGAATGAAGACAACCCATCACTTAGGTAAGAACAGGACATTCTTACATTCAATATGAACCTGTGGGCAAATTCACACTTAAACAAATCTGAACTTACCATTTATTTAAAGGTGAGAGTGCCTTTGAAAGCAAGCCAAAACATAAAGTTGCAGGAGTAGCCATTTCACTATTAGACATTGACCACCTGCACGTCCTTGCTCCAAACCTTTTTTTATGCCAGCACACAACTTGGAGCCTCTTAGATCGGCCTACAGAGCTGTTATCAGAGTAAGAGCAATGACTGAATGGTGAGAAGGACACTGACTGACTGATATGTGAAAGCTTACCTAAGGTGCTCTTGGCCTATTAGGAGGATGCTCTTCAGTTACTCCTGGCTCATCTTTTTATTCCAACTGCTCTTGCTACAGCCTCTTTTTCCCCCCTTCCTCTCTATTTTCATGCAGTATGCTTTGTTCCTTTCCAATTTTTCTCTTTCTCTCTCTCTCACTCTCTCCAGCTTCCTTCTATTCATTTTCTACAGGACATCTCATCCCTCCATCCTCCTTTCTCTGCTGTCATCACCTGACAACCACCTGAACAGCATGTTGCCATAGCAACTCCTCTGCCCTCCCTGTGTGGTCTTGGTGAGGTAGAAATGCACCTTTTAGTAGTGTGTCTTTATGTGTGTGTATGTCACACACACACACACACACAGACCCACATATATCCTGTTTTTGTGATCAGAGTGGCAAAACAGGGTACCCAGACTGGAGGATATCGTGTGTGTGTGTGTGTGTGTGTGTGTGTGTGTGTGTGTGTGTGTGTGTTAGAGAGAGAGTAACAAATCGTTGACAAACAAAGGAAAATTGAAGGAAGAAGGAGAAAGGCTAAATTCTGCGTATTTTAGGCATATGAGCTAGTAGGCTTCGCTAAACATCCAGTAATTACACTTGTTATTATAAACATGTGAGTTTGCACACCACTTTTAAAGTCATTACCCTATGTAGGGCATGTGAAAAGGTGAAGAACTCACCCATCTGGACATTAAACTGTATTTAACCAGCCAGCTCGTGTGATGTTCAGGTGCAGCAATTTGTGCCAGTGTGAGAAAAGAGCAAATAACAGCCACAGTTAGCGAGAGGTCGCCCTGCGATATGTATCCTGAAAGCTCTACTCATCCAGCACCTAAATCAAACACAGCTCTTTCAGTACCCAGAATGCAGCTGACGCATCACCTGCCGTGGGCTACACAGAACTAC